ACGAAGAAATAGGACAATGGGGCAGCAGATCACCAAACTAAGTGCTGGTCTGGACAGCAAAAGAAAGGATGGCATGTGACTTGAACATGACACTGATCCGTCATAAGAGATCATTCAATTGGCTTGAGAAATGCGGGATGGAATGGGCTAGCCACCACATGCCTCACACGTGTCTAGTATTTTTCTTCTTGTAGATCCCCTTCCTTTAGTCCACTTTGGATACCCATTTACTCTCTTCCTAAGATACATTGGTTAAGTCATCAATGTCAATGTAGACCAGCTAACCAGTCAAAGATGGAGGATTCTCCACTGTACAAACAAGCTTATGGACTATGGTAGTCAGGCAGCTAAAGCCAAAAGGTTGCACTATTTCCTCTATAACTACAAGTAATCCCTAAACAATGTTCCATAACTCTGAAAAACAAGGGAGAAACCGAGAAAGTAAATGGGGTATCCCACCCAAGTGGCTAAAAGCATGGCAAAAAAGTAGGATACCCAGCCCATGATAATGGTGGATGTGGGATCCAAGTAGAAAATTTTCAAAAATCAATTTTGAGGGATCTCAACTTATTTTTGTAAGACTGGATTCTAGTTCAACAGAGTGCCTTACTCAAAGAAACTCACCTCACTAACACTAAGCACATTGTTGCTGGGTATCGGTGCTTGAGCTCGTTTTCCCTGTGAGCCTTTTGATTTCATCTTTCCGATAACAGTATCTTTTGTTTCCCTATTGCTTGATATCGAAATCACAGATTCATTACAGCCCTACAAGCATATGAAAGAAGACATCAGGAACATAATATACAATAAACATCAGGAACATAAATAAGTTACTGTTGTAAATGATAAGAAGGTTGAGGATGTAGAGGTGGTAAGGGAGTTTCCTGATGTATTCCCCGAAGAACTTCCCGGCCTTCCACCAGAAAGGGAAGTAGAGTTTGATATTGAATTGGTACCTGGCACAACACCAATTTCAATGGCACCATATAGAATGGCACCAATTGAGCTGAAGGAGCTTAAAGAACAATTGCAATAATTGCTAGACAAGGGGTTTATTCGACCTAGCATCTCACCTTTGGGTGCACCGGTTTTGTTTGTCAAGAAGAAAGATGGCTCCATGAGAATGTGCATTGACTACCGGAGGTTGAATAAGGCGACAGTGAAGAATCGTTATCCCCTTCCAAGAATAGATGATTTGTTTGATCAATTGCAGGGTGCATCAGTCTTTTCTAAGATTGATTTGAGGTGTGGATACCATCAATTGAAAGTGGCAGATGGAGCAACTTCAAAGACAGCTTTTAGAACAAGATATGGGCATTATGAGTTCCTGGTAATGCCTTTTGGACTCACTAATGCACCAGCGGTATTTATGGCTCTTATGAACAGAGTTTTCCATGAATATCTTGATAAGTTTGTGATTGTGTTCATAGATGATATTCTCATCTATTCTAAAAGGGAGGAGGAGCAGAAAACTCACCTTAGAATTGTGTTGCAAATTCTAAGGGAAAAACAATTATATGCAAAATTCTCAAAATGTGAGTTTTGGCTGAAGGAGGTAATATTTCTGGGACATGTAATTTCTGGAAGAGGTGTCGAGGTGGATCCGAAAAAGGTGGAAGCAGTGGTGAGTTGGGCTCCACCAAAAGATGTATCTGAGTTGAGAAGTTTTCTTGGCATGGCGGGTTACTATCGGCGGTTCGTAGAAGGATTTTCTAAAATTGCTGCACCATTGACTAAACTGTTGAGGAAGAATACCAAGTATGTTTGGGATGAATCATGTCAAAAGAGTTTTGATGAACTGAAAAAGAGATTGACCACAGCACCAGTACTCTTGCACTACCTTCAAGTCAGGGAGAGTTTGTGGTGTATAGTGATGCCTCGTATCAAGGATTGGGCTGTGTGTTAATGCAAGATGGAAGAGTTATCGCATATGCTTCTAGGCAATTGCGTCCTCATGAAGTAAATTATCCCACTCATGACTTAGAATTGGCAGCGGTGGTATTTGCTCTCAAGATTTGGCGATATTATTTGTATGGTGAGACTTTTAAAATCCTAACTGATCACAAAAGCTTGAAGTATATTATGGATCAGAAGGATTTAAATAGTCGTGTAACACCCCGAGTTTTGGGTTCAGGTTCGACCCAAATACGTGAACGGTTGGATTAACGGTTACATACTAAGGATTGCAACTGCGGATTAGAAATAATAATAATAATTATTATTATTTAAAAAAAATCACGGGCCAAGAGGGCGCTCGGCCCTCAAATATTTTTTTTTTTTTTGCCCATCACCACTCCCCCTTGCCCAAGAATCCATCCGGATTCAATAAATTGAGAACCCTAAAAGCAAAAGAAAAAGGCTGCCACTCAAAGCCCTAGCTCTCTCCTTCCATAGCGGCGGCTGTAGTTCCAGTGATGGGCGATCGGATGGCCGAGCAGGGATGAAAAATCGGATGCTCCACATGAACCCCAGACCTTCAGTTTTGAAATTTGGTCAGTTGGTAAATTCTCTCATGAGAATGAACGCCTTCCAGGCTGCCTTCCGCTTGGCATGTTGCTTCGTTGCTTTTGTAAATTGGGTCGTGTGGATTTTGGCTACTCAGTTTTGAGCACAGTTCTGAAGCTCGGTATTCAATTCAATGAGTGATGGATGCAGTTAAGAAGGGTGAAAGAATGAGCTATAAGCGTATGGTTTTTCTATACGAGCCTAGGTGAATAGACATAAGAATTTTGGGGATTTTGTTTACATCGGGATCGAGTTCGACCTGGTGAAGTCATTAAAAGAAGGAAGGGAATCAATGGTGGAATTTCTTGGACGCCATGCCATTTCAGCTGAGGCCGATCGATGAGAGAGGGAGATAGAGGCCTTTCACAAGGGTCTTGATGCCGCGCGGGGAATTGATGGCGATTCGGTAACTGTGGAGAGGTTGAATTCTGATTTGGCAGAAGTTGCTGGGGTTAGTGAGGTTAAGCAACCAGCAGGGCTGGTATTGGAGGCGCATCGTTTGGAAGGAGACGTGGGTTCCGATAGAGCAAATGTTGCCGAAGTTTCCACCGGTGGTCGGGGATTCCAGGTCGATCGAAATTGAGGTGAAGTTTAATGTCGGTTGAACTTTGTCGTTATGTGAGAGTTGTGGAAGGGGAAGAAGACGAATTTCATGATGATTGATTGCCCATCGTAGGTAGCAAGCTAAGTGAGGTTTCTTTTCTATGCATGATGAACGAATTGGAAGGGGTGCATGTACTCGTGAATTACATGTAGGGGTGGGCATCGGTACGGTTCGGACCGGACCGCACCGCATTTTTATAAACCGCACCGAACCGCATTTATGTAAATCACGTCGCATCTTTGACCGCGAAGTTATCGGTGCGGTCAAACCAAACCGCATGAATTAACAGTTTGGTATGGTTTAGACCGCACCGCATTTTGACCGCAAATGACAAGAAAAGAAGGAAACTTGGAAATAAAATAAAAAAAAATGGCAAGGATTCCCGCTCCGTTTCTGTGTACTGATGCCACCAAAAGTCCAAAATAGAGCTGTGAAGGCAAGACAACACAGTTGCTCTGTTTCAATTTGTTGAGGAATGGTGCCATGAAAACAGAGCATATGCTCTGATTTAAGGGCCTTAACTAACTTAATCCAAATATGCAAAAAAAAAAAAAAAATCCAATATCATCACACTCAGCCTAAAACAGCAACAGAGCAAAAGTCCAATATAAAAAACCTTGCCATCTTCCTGTTCTCATTTGTTTTAAGGGCCTTAACTAACCCTGCCATCTTCCTCTTGCCGCAAGAGAAGTAGTTTTGAAATAATAGCAAACAAAAAAAAAAGGCAGGGTTCCTCTGTTTCCGGCCATCAAAACAGAGCATATGCTCTGATTTCCCCATGCCTTGCATCTGCTGCTTTCTTCTTGCGGAACTCTGTTTCTTGGCTAGATCCCCTACACATGAACCCGTTGAAAAACATTAAACCATAATGCTCACCTAAACTACACAATAGACAGTAAAGGATTCTAATTTCACTACTACATTCTACATCAGAGGAATCCTCACATTCAAAGACTTAATGGTATTACCCAGCACCTAAAATTGCCCAATCTTAAATCACAGGTCAGCAAAAACATGGTAGGTTTTGGAATCTACAGCTATAAGCCTTAGGCAGTTCCCATCAGATATAACAGTTTTCTTGGAGTGGAGACACTTAGGTAGATGTCTAGTTAGAAGGTTGAATGACAAGTCAACGAACTTCAGTTATTGTTGGAGAGATCAAGCCGTTCCAACTAATAGTAAGAGCTTATTTCAGTAGGCCCAAAGTCAAAGTAGACACAGCACTGACAAGGCACTGCCCCCTACTGATGTCAACAAGCTGCTGCTGAAGAGCAACAGCAACAACCTCAGCGAGAAGCTGGAGAAGCTGAAGAACCAATCAAACTATGCGGAGAAGCTGAGGGTTTCATTTGATCAGGTCGAGGAGGTCGAGGAGGAGCGTCGACTGCTGCCTTGAGAGGTCGAGGAAGAGCATCGACCACCAGTTGGAGAGAGGGAGGAAGAGTGTGGACAAAATATGGACTGGTTGACTTTTGTAGAGCTTCTGGTCAATTTGGTTTTTGTTATTTGTGGGGGTTATTGTGCTTTCGAGTGTGGTTTTTTTGTGCTTCCTTCTATGGTTGTGTAGCTGGGATGTCTTTGTCTCTATGTATATATAAGAGCATGAAATGAGAAAGGTGGGGAAGTTAAGTATTGGCACATTGCACATGTTTTGACTCAATCTCAATCAGTCTTTATCTCTATTGTCAAGTAATAAACGTTAAACAAGGATAATAGATGGTATTTAGGCCATACAGAGAGAGAGAGAAGGGGCAGCTCAGAAATTGCACTAATGATCAGGTTCAAATGTTACCTTATATGTTTGTGCTTGCCTCTACATTAGGACTCATACGAGGAGTATGGATACGAGGAAGTGGAACATCAGATATACCAATAGCCTTCATAATCATGCTCAACTCTGAAATTCATAATACCTATCCAACTCGGTATTGTTCACTACACCTCTTTCCTTTTGCATTTGTTTCATATACTCGGCAACTAAATCCACATTCCCACCATTATCATCTACTTCTGTTTGAGAGGAGGAATCACCACCTACTTCCATTTGATTCTCATAATGAGCATATAACTCATAAGTAGCAAGCTCAACGTCTTTTGTCAAATCAAAAATTGCTTTCTCATCATCATACATCCACTTGAGTGTGAAACCAATAAACTGTAACTTTAGCCTTGGATCTAACACAGCAGCAATATACAAAAGCTTGTTCATCTTATCTACATCTCCCCAATATTTATCATATTTCTGTTTCATCTTTGTTGCCATGAAGCTTAATCGGTAATCCTTCTTGTCTGGAATTACCCAATTCCTCAACAAATTGTATAAGTTCCCAACTTCAGGAAGGAATAAATTGGAGGTGATATACTGTGAACCTGAAAATTTTAAGGTGAACTGATAAAACTGTTCTAAGAACTTCATCATTCTTCTAGCACTATCCCAATCACAGCTATCAGGTACTCCACTCTTCATTTCAAGTTCATTTTGAAATTGCTTATCTGACATTCGGTAAAGATTAAAAGCATGCTCATGCTTTACAGCAGATTGCAACATCAAAAAGGTTGAATTCCATCTCGTTGGAACGTCAAGACACAACCCACTCTTGCTCGTATTATCAAGAGCAACAAAATTATTAAACTTCTGAATTCTTGCAGGTGAATGCCTAACAAATCTCACCGCCTCTCTGATTCTTTTTACAGCCACAGATATCTCAGATAATCCATCCATCACAACAAGATTCATTATATGAGCCACACACCTAACGTGAAGAAATTTTCCATCACACATGCCAATCTTTCTATCATCAAATATGCTTTTCAATTCTTCTATTGCAGTATCGTTCGAACTAGCGTTGTCAACAGTGATTGTGAAAATCTTGTCTATCCCCCATTCATCCAAACAAGACATAACTGCACTTGCAATATCCACCCCCTTATGACTAAAGATTTGGCGAAAACCAATTATCCTTTTCCTTAATATCCAATTTCTATCAATAAAATGAGCTGTCACACACATGAAGTTCAATTGTTTGTTTGAAGTCCATGAATCTGTAGTCAAACAAACTCTACCTTCACAGTTGCTAAAGACATCCTTCAACTTTTGTTTCAACTCAAGATAAAAATCCCAACAATCCCTAGTCACTGTTCTTCTAGAGGGTATAGAAAATCTAGGACAAGCAAGTGACATAAAGTATTTGAAACCCAAGTATTCAACAAATCTGAAAGGCAATTCATCCACAACGATCATATAAGTCAATCCTTTCCTTATAGCTGCTTGATCAAACTTCCAACTGCTTAACATAGATTCATCCCCCTCACCTAGTTCAGCTCTAAGAGTATTCAATAGTTGTTGAGCAGTACCTTTTCCATCACCGCACGGTTTACTCATATGATTGCGGAGTGCACTAGTTCCATTGTTACGTGATTTAGATGCATAAGTCTTCCCGCATTTGATGCATGATGACTTGAATAAACCGTCCTTCTTATACCTTCTGAATTGGACCCAAACTTTTGATGTAAGCCTCCTCCCTTTTGGCATTGGTGAATTAATGTGAGTCGAAGCTGAACCAGTATGATCACTAGCAGCCACCTTGCTCGTACTTGCATCCATTTCGACTTCCATCTCTTCCGCACTCGAGGAATCCATTCCAATATCATCACACTCAGCCTAAAACAGCAACAGAGCAAATGAGAACAGGAAGATGGCAAATAATCTTATATATATATATGTTTGACAGGAAAATGAAATTCTGAAATTAGCATTGCAGCATGGTCCTTGATTCATGACTTGTAGTTGTAGGAAAAGACAGGGAGGTTACTCCCAATGTACCAGGCCAGACCAAAACAAAAAAAGGGAGGTGTCATTCGTTCAGTCACCTTTCCCCATTCAAAAAGCAAAAAATACAGAAATAGGAAGCCAATCAATAGGACCACAGCAAAGCAGAAATTTCGCAGAAGCTTTGGGACGAAGAAATAGGATAATGGGGCAGCAGATCACCAAACTAAGTGCTGGTCTGGACAGCAAAAGAAAGGATGGCATGTGACTTGAACATGACACTGATCCGTCATAAGAGATCATTCAATTGGCTTGAGAAATGCGGGATGGAATGGGCTAGCCACCACATGCCTCACACGTGTCTAGTATTTTTCTTCTTGTAGATCCCCTTCCTTTAGTCCACTTTGGATACCCATTTACTCTCTTCCTAAGATACATTGGTTAAGTCATCAATGTCAATGTAGACCAGCTAACCAGTCAAAGATGGAGGATTCTCCACTGTACAAACAAGCTTATGGACTATGGTAGTCAGGCAGCTAAAGCCAAAAGGTTGCACTATTTCCTCTATAACTACAAGTAATCCCTAAACAATGTTCCATAACTCTGAAAAACAAGGGAGAAACCGAGAAAGTAAATGGGGTATCCCACCCAAGTGGCTAAAAGCATGGCAAAAAAGTAGGATACCCAGCCCATGATAATGGTGGATGTGGGATCCAAGTAGAAAATTTTCAAAAATCAATTTTGAGGGATCTCAACTTATTTTTGTAAGACTGGATTCTAGTTCAACAGAGTGCCTTACTCAAAGAAACTCACCTCACTAACACTAAGCACATTGTTGCTGGGTATCGGTGCTTGAGCTCGTTTTCCCTGTGAGCCTTTTGATTTCATCTTTCCGATAACAGTATCTTTTGTTTCCCTATTGCTTGATATCGAAATCACAGATTCATTACAGCCCTACAAGCATATGAAAGAAGACATCAGGAACATAATATACAATAAACATCAGGAACATAATACAGTACTTTGCAAATGACGAACAACCCTTTGAAAATTCAATAGTCATACCACGATCTTAGAAACATGCCTTCATTTTTGGTAAAGGAAACTGCTCATTTCTACTCGTCAGCCTTACAAAAGATCAAAGCATTTGTGCCAATGATGGGCATTCCAGAAATCCAATGACCTACACATTCTAAGAATCCAACCCACTGCTAATATGCTTTAATCAGTCTATCATTATATCATAGTTGACAACGAAAAGTGGGTGCTTACTACCAAAGAGTATAGAATCCATGATCAACATATCGAAACAACTGCAAAAGAGACCGACAGGTCTCCGCAACAAGTAAAAGCTATTAACTAGGCCACAAGACCACATAACTTTATCTAAACTTAATCCAACTAAACAGAGACGGCACCCTTCACATTAGGACTTCCCTTAATGAGAATGACCAGCAAATTCTACTGTCAATTTCCAGCAGAAAGCGGTGAACACACAGCCAATGCATCTCCATGGTAGCACTTCGAATTCCATTCTCAGTACAGGTAATTCTTAATTGGAACCAGTACAAGCCAGCAACCATCTATCCGGGGGAAACCGAATAACAACTTGAGCCCGAACTCCTAAACTAGAAAGCACACATCGGAGGCGATTAGGCACTGTTCAACTCGAGTGAGGACTCCTACTACCAAGGCAATCAATGGCTAGAACTCAGAAAACCCTCGCCCACCGACACTTGCAATTTTCAAATGACGAACAACAACAGGACTATTGAATTTTCAAATGACGAACAACTATCTCCCCCACTCTCGTCATTTTCCCCTCCACAAACAAAATGAAATGAAAAACCCACATATCCCCTGTTCATATAATTTCACAAATCAAGCAGGACAGGAAAGCAAGCATCCAAAACAGAGCAGTACTGTAACTTTTTTTTCTCTTCTCGCACCCGATGGCAGCCTCCATCATTGTGGGTTTCGCCGAATCGAGAGAGAGGCGATACATGGGAGACCAAAGCAAATACAACACAACAACCCAATATGTAACTCTATTCCTACTTGAAAACCCACGGAGGGCAAAGGGATCAGTGGGTCGGTTGCCGCCTTGGTGGAGGTCCGACGGGATTAGTGATTCGAGATTGAATCCAAAAGAGACCGACCAAGATTCAAGGATATGAAGAGGGAGGGAGAGAGTACCAGAACGGCGGTGTGACCCGGGATGCGGAGGCCGGCGGAGGTGCGAATCTGGATGTTAGGTCAGGGAAAGAGACTGGGGATGGCGGTGGAAGAACAGAGTAAAGAGTTGGGTGATTGCAAATCTAGGTTGAAGGAGAAGGAGGAGATTCTGGAACACTACAAGTGGCTTTTGGAGGAGAGCAAAGATGCGATGAAGGAGAAGGAGTCGGCGATGAATCGATTGAAGGAGGTGATCGAGGACAGGGATGGAGAGATTCGGCAATTGAACGTGGTAGTGGCGGCAATGGAAAGCGATTAGGGGATGGAGAGATTCGACGCCTTCCCTGTTCAGTAAGAATTACCGGTTTGCGGTTTTGAACCGTAACTGTGTGGTTTCGGTCAAACCAAACCGCGAACCACGAACAACTAAATGGTTAGTCCGCAAATGAAACCGATAGTTAACAGTGCGGTTTGGATTGACCGTTGGAGTGGTTTGGAGCGGTTTGGTGTGGTTTGGTCAAACCAATGCCCACCCCTAATTACAAGTGGAGGAGAAGAATTATTGAAGGAGCTGGTTGGTTGGTTCTGCTACGTGGTTGCTGACTGGCATAGAAGAATGAGGAGCGGGCCCGGGTCCATTAGCTTCATGCCGGGATTGGTGTATGCTTACCATGTTCGTAATGGCGGTAATCGATCAGGTGAGTGTAAAGGGGGTAAATTCTACGCCTTACGTATTCTTTTAAGTATTATGAGTTTAAGTATTTTAGTGAATTGGTTACCATTGCTTGATTGTGTGTATGATTGATTAATTGTGCTTTGCTTGAGTTATAGTTTGAGATGTTTTTGTGCTATTTGAGGTGAATTTGTTTGAGCTATGCTTGAGGTGAATGCTTATAAATTACTTTGAAATTTTTACGAGTATAAGTTATTATTAAAGAGTAAGAAACAAGTCCTTTCAAAGAAGCAATTCACCTTCAGGAAGGTGAAGCGTTTTAAGTGTTTTTAGTCGCTAGCGCCAGTCCGTTGCCATTGAGATTTTCAGATAGAGCAGCAGTTATGCTCTTGAGATCTTTGAGACAGAGCAGCAGTTATGCTATTGAGACTTTTAAGATGGGCAGCAGTTATGCCCTTGAGAATCGTGGTGAAGAGCCACCACGACAAGTTTAAGATGTTAGGGGGATGAATCGTTACGACTTCTTTAACTAAGTTTAAGTTTAAGGAAAGCCTTGATGGCTTCTCATACGTATGAGTTGGCAATCGGACTAGCTAGTGAGGGATCCCAGTGTCGGTCAAGTATTTGAGTCAACCTTTGAGATTTA